CAAAAATGTTTGATCATGTTGACGTTACGGTAAAATTTAGCAAAAAATATTGCACCCTTTTTCTAAACAAAAATTTTGGACGAGTAATGAGATTAAATCACCAACAACGTTCATGATGAACTATAATAGTTTGTAATCAAGAAAATATCTTCGACTTCAAACCTCAGTTTTCTTCACAGGTGACGAGGACAATTATACCTAAAAACAAGTGGGAAATGTATGAAAAATAAAATTTAATTTCCTATCCATGTAAATTAATTAGCTCGATCATATAAAGATAAAAAAAAAAAAAAATGAAAAAGTTATTGGCGTGCGATAGGAAAAATTGAATTGTTGGTTCTTAACCTATTGTTACATTAGGAGTTTGATCTTCCGTCATAAAATGTGAACAAGTTAGTTCTTGCTAATTATTGCAGTTGTTCAAATCTTTGTAAAAAAGTTGTAAAATTTGGCACCAATGTTCCACGACGCTACCTCTTCTCATATTCAAATAAACGTGTAAAATATCCTTTTTTTTTTTTTTTTTTTTAACTAATGGAGGCCTCATTTGGCGCCCATTAATTCTCGTTTGGCCCTCATTTTCTAAAAAATGAAAATAGGTATAATAATGTTTTTTTAAAAAATGAATAATTGAAAAAGAAAGAAAAATATTCGATTTACATGTAATATTATTTTATAAAAAATTATGTAATTAAAAATAAAAGAAAAAAATGAAATGTAATATAATATAATAAAATTTAATGGAGTTGAAAGGGGTCTTCACATTTTGGCTTATTATTCAACCCAACTTGGTGGATACAGCTGTATCCATTTCTATTCATACCATTTCAAAAGTCAGAAAATCCAAGAAAAAAATCCACTGAACGCTTGGAACCCATTGACGTATATACCCTCCACTTCACTCGTGCAATGTCGTTTCTACTCCTGTAAAATTAGGGGTACAAATGTCATTTTGCACGTTAACCAATAAAGCAGTCAAACCCATGTGAACCACATAATTAGTTGTCTGCTATCATTAAAGGTTAAACCCTAATCTTAAGGGTCCCCCACCATCTCTGCCCTGGAGTATCGTGAGGGAGGTAAATCGCAGATTATGCCTCCAAGGGTACAGGGTGGAAGGCTGCTTGTACACTTTCGCTTACCCAAGAGCCAAATCCATATTTCAGGATTCGAACCCTTGACGCAGCAGCCTCAAGTAAAACTGGATTTTTTCACCCTCCCCTTTTACCACTTGGAGATGTGACCTGAGAGTGTTTTCAAATGATGAATAACTTCAAATGATGAGCAATGTTCTAAGATTCTTTCTTTAAGTTATAAACATTTGCCTTATCATTTGAAAGGGTGTTTTCTATACATGGGAATTTTTTCGGAAGATTTTGAAATAAGAGTCAAAGAACTTATAAAGTTGTGCGTTGCAGAGGGATTCCTCAAACCAGCAAGCTCTAAAAGGTTGGAAGATGTAGGAGAGGAGTACTTTTTGGATCTTGTTCAAAGAAGTCTCATTTTGGTTCAAAAGAAAGGGTCTAGTGGAAAAATTAAAACTTGTACGATTCATGATCTATTACGGGACCTTTGTATCAGGGAAGCTCAAAAGGAGAAGTTTTTCCATGTCAGTGAACAGAGTTTCGATGTTATTCAAGGAAGCATTAGTATGCGCCGTATAAGTATTAATGCTAAGAATCCTCGATTTTTTCTTCCATTTTACTATACGACGAAAGGGACTCTCCAGGATGATGACAAAACACCGTCGTCTTTAAAGAGGTTACTTCCTTTTTCAATTGTAGAAAATTCTTTTGATTCTAGGGCACTTAAAGTGCTGCATACTGAGGGAACGGATCATTTGCAAAATGGAATGCAAGTATTGGTTAACATGCGGTACTTCAATTCCTACTTTGGATACGATATTGCATCAATAAATAAATTTCGGAATCTACAAACAATAATTACTCATGACGGGATTCATAAGCTACCACCACAAATATGGAAGATGCCACAATTAAGACATGTCAAGTTGGAAAAAACTGCAAGTCTTCCTGATCCTCCCATTTCAGAAATTAAGGGGAAAGAAAATTCTATTGTTGTTCTAGAAAACCTACAAACACTCTCAATGATAGATGGATTTAGTTGGACAGAGGAAGTCCTAAAAAGAATTTCAAATCTACGGAAATTGGCTATCTGTTATGATTTTATGACAGAGGCTGATTGGAAAAAAATACCATATCAATAATCTTGTCCATCTAACTAATCTTGAATCATTAAAATGTCGTATTAGATGTAGGTGCTCTGAATTCCTAGTCGATCTCACTTTTTCGACATCACTCAGAAAGTTGATTTTATTCGGCTTCAAACTTCATCCCTCCGTATTGTCGAATCTTGGTTCGATGCCAAATCTTGAAGTGCTGAAATCGACATTTATTACCATCCTTCGTGAGAAGTGGAAACCAAATGAAGGAGAGTTTCTTAAATTGAAATGTCTGCTCTTATACAAAGTCAGACTGAAGCACTAGATGGTTGAAAGTATCCACTTTCGGAGTCTCGAGTGCCTAGTCATTCGGGATTGCAGAGAGCTGGATGAGATCCCTAATGGTTTTAGAGAAGTTTTAACTCTTCAATACATCGAGTTGAAACAATGTGCTGATTCAATTGTAGAATCAGCAAAGAAAATAGAAGAGGCACAATTGGATTGGGGGAGCGATGCCTTCAAGTTATATATTAAGAAGTAGTAAATGTGCTGAGCTTCAAAGTTTTCCATTCCAATCATTTGTTGATACCATTTTCTTTTGTGAACCTTTCCATTTTCATTTTTGGCTTTCTTATCTATAACTACATTCTTACTTCCTCTCCTCTGAATTTGATATAGTATGCAGTTCGAGATATGAGAGCTTAGTTTGAACCAACTTCGATGCAGATGCTGTGCATTAAGCCTGCAATTAAGTTTCTCTAAAGCTTGTACTATAAAACCATGATTTCATTTAATGTCCTTGTTTGTCTATGTTGTTTCTTCTACTTTCCTCTCTCTTTATTTGTGGTTTTCACATGATCTTATTAATTTAAAAAATCATGATTCATGTATGATTGTTCTTGCCATTCTAGAGATTTACATTTTGTGTGCAGTACTATTGTTGATAAATAATTTGGAATTACTCTATTGATTACAATATCACAATATTCAATTTTTGCTTACAATTGTGGAGTATAAGATAATAATTTGCTGACTAAAACTGTTGATTATTTCAAATAATATTTTGATGATTGAACTGTGGAGCGCACAGATAGTACAAGTTAAAATTTTGTTTGGACAATGACTGAACTTAAATTTGGACATGGACTAAATGTAATAAATAGTGACAAAAAGGATCTGGGCTAGGGTTGGACCTGGCTCTAGCCTGGTCCAGCCCCCCGATTTGCACCTATTTTGATCTAGTTCTAGGTATACCAAGCTTATGATGAATCAAATTGTCCACACCATTCATGACAGATGGCAAATCCTTCATACCCTGCTTCAATTCCAAGGTGCAGCCTGTCATAAAATTATGAATTCAACCCCCTCGAATATGGTGGATGGAATGAAGGACAAAATTCAATAATCGATAATATTACATAAATTCGTCAAGTTCCTACTTTCTAGTTTCTCTTTCAACCTCACCTTGGGATATAACAATGACTCTTTCCTCTTACATAGTCCCTCATCACTTATGAGATTTTTTACAACATTGAATCAATGATTATTATTATCATGCTCTAGTGCTTTGCTATCATCCTCTTCTTTACATAGACGGTGATACATAACTAAAGATTATGCTTTGTATATTGTAATTAATTAAAAAGTATTATATATGTATTCCTAAAATCCGTCTTATTGTAATATAAATAATTTTGCTATTGTCATAGCTCCTCGTATCCTTACCATTTGTAATTTTTTTATTTTCATTTTTATTGTTTATTATTATTATTTTACTTTTTTTATTTTACTAACAATCACCAAAAAATTGAATAGAAGTTATCACAATGATTCCTACTTAAACAAAACTCATCATGATCTTATGGTGGGTCTCAAGATATGTTTGATTCCAAGTAAATCAAACAACCCATCTTAGTTAATACATATTATTACAAATTTATGTGGACAATATTATTGTTCTAGGAACACTAGTCAACTCTTTTCAGCATTGGTGGCAATTAATATTAAATTTATTATTTTTATGAAAAATTGTAGCCACGTTACCAAACATTTCACTTTTATGCAGATTTAACTCAAACCTTTAATTTATAGTCCACGCAATACAAAATCTTTCAAAAATTTGCATTTGGAATCCAAATGGATGGTTTTTGTTAATGATTGTTAGTTATCCATAAAAATAAATAAAATAAAATAAAATGAATTGACTGCTTCTCACCAATTTGAAAAGAGTAAAAGGGTACTTTCATATTATTCTACGTAAAATAATTATATAAATTAAATAAAATATCAGAAAAATAAAAGAAAAATGGTTTTCTTCCCTCTACCCCCACCCTCCATTCCCATCCCCATTCCTTAAAACCAAATCCAAAACCCTCCGCCACCTTCCACAAACATTGTCAGCGCCAACATATCAGCTTGGGCGAATCCTCCAAATAGATACCCAATTCCATGTGGAGTCGAGGTGGGTCGGATTGGATTGATTGGGAAAATCCTCCACATTAAGCTTCTTGGTACGGGTCTTGGAGCTACATCATGGGTTAATTCCCTAATCCAATAGGTGTATGAGGCTACCAAAGCAGATTCTGATTCCTTCTCCGTTGAAACAGCAGCTGCACCACCCTTCATTTTTCTCGAAGAACTATCAAATTAAACTAAAGAAACCCAAACCAAATGCAAACCAAACAGTTTTGGATTCAATCAAATGGCAAAAATATAGTGTTGTATAAGGAAAGATTATATTGCAAATCTAAAGGCAAAAATATATTGGCATATCAAATGGCAAAAAACAGTTTGGGTTCAAAAATGTATTGCAAACCTAATGGCGATGGTGGTGCCTGGTTTTGAGACGGCGGTGGCGCTGGAGGTTGAGGCGGTGGTGCTAGAGGTTGAGACGATGGCGATGGCAGTGGCTTACGGAATTGGTTTTGTTTAGATTTACTTGTACACGTTTTCTTTTCTTCATAAAATTTTATCAGTTAACATTTCTTTCTTACAGCCACACGAGAGTGACCAAATTTTAACTAACAAGGTAGT